ACAATTATACCTGTCGTTCGATCCTAGATTTATAAATACCGCATCTGCTTATATTAATCAAGATTTAGAAAATATCCAAAAATATTCATTTAATCACAACTTAAACCTCAATCCAGATAAATGTCAAGTTGTTATCTTCTCTCCGCCATGTTATGAAATTTTTATGCAGCATATCGACTTAACATTAAATGGAAAATCAGTCTCAGTAGTTAATAGTGCAAAGAATCTTGGTGTTATTTTCGACTGTAAGCTCAGATTTGAAGAGTACGTCTCACTATTAGTGAAAAAGACTTACCTAGTTTTAAGGCTACTGTATCGAAATGGTGGTATTTTAAATTTTAAATTACGTAAAAAGCTCTCAGAGAGCCTAGTATTACCTATTTTAAATCATGCAATCACGCTTTATTATCCCTTCTTAACGTCTATTTTGAAATACAGACTTCAAAAGGTACAAAATTGCTGTTGTAGATTTGTTTTTAGGCTCAAAAAGTTTGATCGAATCTCAGCTAAAATAAATGAGTTAAAATGGTTAAAACTGGAATATACTCATAAATATTATACTTCTATTTTAGTTCACCGTATTTTATCATCACAGAGCCCTGCTTACCTGAAAAGAAAATTAGTCTTTAGGCGTGATTTGCATGATTTAAATACGAGGTTCACTAATAAACTTTCTCTTCCTAAGTTTCGTTTATCTTTATTTAGAAAATCTTTTTCATATAATGCTGTTACTATATACAATAGTATCGATGACGCGCTTAAGTTTAGTTCTGTACCGATGTTTAAAGTCCTGGTAAGGCAATTTTATTACAATAGTCAATGTAATGGATAGTTCAATAGTTTTTGATTATATACTCTTCGCTTTGCGGTTTTGTGTCTTAGGCTTTTGTTTATTTTCATTCAAATTATCTCATATTTTCTATGCTATTTTGTATTTGATCACTTCTGATGATTGCATTTTATGTATTATCTGTGGCTTTCTTCATTGTTAGCTTTTATTTAGGGTTAAGTAGAGTAGCTTAGGCTAGGCTTCGCCCTGTTGCAGATTTCTGTATTGTATATAACAATACTCAATAAAGACATAATACTCGTAATAATAATAATAATGATGTCACGCGGAGAGTGATTATCTTTTGGGTTGATATGGGAAACGTGCATATTTTCACCTACAGTCCAAACGGCTGGACGGATATGAAGTGTCGTTAGATCCGTCTTAGCGGTGCGAGTCACACTAGATACATTAAAATTTCATACAAAACAAAATGGCGGATTTTATTAAGAGATTTCAACCTTGTAATTCATATTTCATAGGCTACAGCTCAAACGGCTTGATAGATTTTCATATAAGAGGTGTCGTTGGATTCGTCTTAGCGGTGCGAGTGACAAAATCTACATTAAAATTTCATACAAAACAAAATGGCGGATTTAAACAAAATATTTCAACCTTGTAATTCCTATCTCACAGGCTATAGCTTAAACGGCTTTCTAGCGTGTATCGTCACTGTACTGTAAAAGCAAGATTTTTCTACATTACCTATATTTTAGTATGTTCTGTGGCGCAGGATTAACATGCTCATCACGTTAATAATGTACTACATTTATTCATCCTTATTTCACAGAACATCCTAACTACATGCAAGTGTGAAAATGTACGCAACTCGAAAAGTCGAAAACTGGAGGTCTCAGCGCCGTATTGTTAGTCATTCCTACAATTATATGTATACCTTTATGGCCTCCTTGATTGTGTTAGTCTTTTTTCTCCTTCGAAAGGCTCGGGTATTTCCAGATTTCAGCTGTTCCGTGTCAGCGTCAGAGCTCTTCTATTGAGAAGTTATGTTTTCTTTTTGAATTGCAGGAAATTGCAGGCTGATAAAACAGACTATATAAATCAGAAGCATGAACAAGTTGGTGCAAATAGATATTTGTGACCTCAAAATAGAGCGCTGACTCGGAACAGTAGAAAACTATGAAAATCAAGGAGACTGTAAAGACGTCCTACAATAAACTGTAGGAACGACTATCGATACGAGCCTAAAGAGAAACTTGTAAGAGAAACTTGTGGCATTCCTTATGTGCATCCGAAAGGTCTCTCAATTATTTTTAGGCCTAAAAAACTGTTTTTGCAATAAAAAAAAATTAATCACAGTTGTGCCCTATCCGCGTTTGATGACATTGAGATTACAAATATGACGCAGTGAGTACAATTATTATCACTTATTTTGTATTACAAAGCATTGTGAGTGAAACCTTGTGTGGAATTGAAACACAGCTACACATGTTTTTATAATGTTTATTGTTATTATAATAATGTAACACATCAATAGAAAATGACAAGAATATTTGTACATAAATTAGGTATATAAATATGCGAGTGTTAATAATAAATAGGATAATAATATGGAAGAATAGGAAAATGGCAGTTATATTTCTGTACATTGAAAGCTCTGTACATTGGAATAACACTAAATATAATGCGTTCGCTTCAAAAACTAAACATATACAGTACTCTTCAAAAAGGTCCCCTACCCTAAATATTTTTTCAACCGGTCAAGCTAGCAAGCTAAAACTTGGAACGAATAAATTAAGGGATAATATCCACTATATTTTAACGTAAAAATAACGGTTGCAAAATTCAGGATGGCGGATGGGCACCATCTTGCAACTGTTTTCATATAAAACGAGTTTCGTGTGATACCTTATTTTGAAGACCCTTATGAGCGCTATAATATAAAATCACTATCTTTTAAAATGGCGAACTGTTGGGATGCTGTTAAAGTTGAGCGCTTTTGTATATAGAATTGCTTATAATTCAACAACTAATCATCAAAGCTATAGTATGCTATATCGACCTTTGTCGTTTGGAAGGGTCTGTCAGGATGTACAATAAAATATGGGACATTCAGTTTTAAAAAATTGACAGATGTTTTTAATTGGAATGTTTCATATTTTATTACATGTTCGGATAGATTCTTTCAAGAAAAAAGATCTATATAAAATGCAGTAACGCTCAACTCAATGTACAAAACCGCACAACTTTGACAGCCTACCCGTGAGTAATTTTCTCAAATGGCGATTGTATGTTGCAGGGTTATCTGGTACTCATAGTGAGACAAAAGTGCTCAAAAATGGCGCCTGGCCATCGTCTTGAAATTTTCAACTGCTACCTTCACTCTAAATTATAGTATTGTATCAGTTTCACTTCACCGAATTCCAGCTTACTAATGTGACCCGTTCAAAAAACAAAAAGCACTGTATACTTTAAGTATTAATATACTTGAGTAGGCAGTTGTTCATATTTATAACATTAATAAATATTTATACACAGACTTAACTAAACTAAAAAAGTACCTACATCACATACCACAAATAATTTAAAACAATAAATATTGAATTATTTATAAATAGTAGAATTAATCACCAAAAGATATTTTTTGAAGCGGCCAGCCATCAAGCAACATCCATCCGTATCTTTTACACATGCAGTATGTATTGTAAAATTCAATGTATAACATTCTGCTGTCTTCAAATGCGGATCGATAAACCACGATTATATTAAATTATATTGGAGAAAATATCTTTTTACCATTTTGCAAATTTGCGTACAATTCCTTGAATGATTGCAATTACTTTTATGGCCGTATCGTCAGTCGTTCCTAGAAATGTAGGACGCCTTTATGGCCTCCTTGATTTTCATACTTTTCTACTCTTCCGTGTCAATGCTCTGTTCAGAGATTATGTTACAAGAATCTATTTGCATCAAATTGTTCAGGCTTTTGATTTATATCATCTGTTATATAAACCAGAAATTTCCTACAATTCAAGAAGAAAACGTAGCCTGACAATAGGAGAGCGCTGCCGCAGACACGGAACAGTAGACATCTAGAAATATCCTAGCCTTTCTGAAGGAGAGAAAAGGCTATGAAAATCAAGGAGGCCATAAAGGCGTCCTACAATTATTGTAGGGACGACTGACGATACGGCACTTAATCAGTGAAACATTGTTCTTTATCAAAAATTGAGTTTTATTCATTGATAATTTTATATATATGGAACCCAGCTTTTGGATAGATCATCTCTAGAACTCTAGTGCTAAATCAATTATATAGCAGTTTTGCTAATAGTACTCTAGTAACATGGTACTTCTCTTAACAACCAAGGTGTTGGGTTGTTTAAGACTTATATTAATTGTTATTATATAATAATTTATTGCATTTGGTCCGTTTCTTGAGATGGACAAGGCCGCATTTACTTATTTCTAATTAAACATTTTTTGTGTGAGACTGACTATTTTGTGTATGATATACTGATTAAATGATTACATTCTAAATAAATATTTTAATGGGATGCGAGGACAACATGACAAGTTTGTGACATACTCATAGTACAAACAAAATAATATTAGTTATATAGTATACAACATATCTTTAAAAATGTGTGTTTACTAATGCCCAGTATAAATAAACTATGAAATTGTTATTGGCATTATTGTGTTAAATAAAAAAATATGAAAGAATTATCTTAAAGAAAACATTGTGATAATGTACATAAAATTCAAAGCTACAGTTTTTGTACTTAGTTTATTTTATGAATCCTCGATACTCTTTTTGGTTATGAAATAGATAATTGGTTTTACCAGTTCAACGAGTTAAGTATGCGAGATTATAGAATCGAGGAAACTTTCTGACAGAAAAATCTATCAGAGTAGCATTTGAGCATTTTTTGGTGTTAATATATCTCTCTGAATATTCACTAATACGAGTTTGAAGGTCATGTCCTATTTTGCGATTGCATATATTCAGCAGTACAACAGCAAAGCTGAAAGTTCCTAGATAAGTCTTTTGCGGGTGAAATACTATTTATATTGTCAATTTTTATTTTTTATTCCGCAAATCTAAAAGGAACTTCAAAAACTGATAATATGAATTCTTTCAGATTATACAAAAACAACTGGGGATTCTATACGACCAATTGGCGAAATATGTCTAATGACCTCTTTGTACTTATGGGTAAACGTTTTGTAAAACATCATTATAGAGTGAGTTGTAAGAATCTCTCAGCACAAATATATCATCAGGCTTTCCATTGAAGGTGTAAGTGCCAGGTAACCTGTGAATCTTCGAATCAGTTAGTGGTTTTTTGGCAGGTTTGAGAGGCTTAGTCGACGCCGGATAGCCTGGAAAAACCCCAGTAGGAGGCGCTGGAGTTTGATATGTGGGAGGGACTTGAGGAAAACTACCGAAAGAAGGCGGGAACGCAGGTTGAGGAGGCGGTGGTGGAGGCGATGCTTGCGTGGGGAAACCATTGAAGGTTCCAGACCATTGGTAAATATTGCTAGGCTTCCCATTAGCAACAAATGGCAACGGGAGATTAACAAACTGCGATACTGACGAAGCGGCAGGCTGCGAGACATACCCCAGCCCCGGAACAAACATGTATGGCTGGGGAGGCAATCGAATGTAGTAAATCGGCGAGTTGTATGGTCGAGCTGATTTTCTGGATGGTATCGTCCTGCTGAGGTCGTTCCCTTCTAATGCCATCGAAACGTAGTCGTCATTGTCCGTTTCGAAGCTATTGTAATCTGGGTCAGGCTGGAGGTAGTCGTAGAATCCAATGTTCCTTCCTTGCCTTTCTTCTGTCTTAGTCGGTGCTGAGCGAGCTGTTCTCCAGAGCAGGAGGATCGAGAGTAGGCTTGTGATAACTTTCATCTGAAACAAAAAAGAGAGTTTGGAGTCCAAGCTGCTTAACAAATTATTCAAGACTTAAGATTGCAAATACATGTGAATTGAGGTACAATATGTCAAAGGTAAATTCTTTAAATTATATTTCTAGCTTAACCTGTATTTGTAATATCGACATGGTGACTATTTTTAACATTATTTTTGATAAAATACGTCATCTAGATGTCCCTCATTTTAATGCAAGAACCTGATCATGGCAATTTCCGTAACACGTTGCACAACTCAACACTTTAACCCATTTCGCGATTGATACTTCTTTCTGAAGTCAGCCAAACTTTGCTTTTGGGACACCTCACAAAAATAGTGAATTAGTACCAAATCTGGTAATAGTGACGGCCATGCGATACTGCTAAAGAAAATAGTCGGACTATCTTCTTGAAAATTAAGCGATTCATTTCGGCAAATTATTGCATAGTATCTGAAAGTTATATTGTCGTCTTGTTAGTCAACCTCCATGTTCAGCTGGTCAATTAAAACCACAGTTGTAGAAATGTTAGTTGGAGATGGTTTTATTTGGGTAGCAGAATATGGATATTATTTTATGCCCTAGCTGAGGTAACATTCCGCGTGAAGTTGATGGACCTGGTTTATGCAAAATGGAGTCACTTGCCACGCTGTGAGGGTCACTATTCACTAACTTCCTTAGCCGTTTCCACGAAAGTTGATGACTTGCTTTGATGAAATGGCTTGGCCATCACAATAAAGAAAACTATGGATGTTTTTCAGTGATGGTACCTCAGGAACAAACTTTACGTCAATATTACTCAAGCATAAGTTTCTAAGAAACCATTCGTTTATTGTATGCCATTTCCTTTTAGCTATTACTGCTATACCTTTTTTTATTTTAGCAATAAACGTTATTATTATTATTATTATTATTAATATTAATATTAATATTATTTCAACGAATATCACTAATCTGGAAAAATTGCGACAAGTAGGATGACTCTGCACTTCGCACGAAGCGTTGTCATCATTTCGTTATTCTTTTTGAGCTTCCTACAAACCTGCATATTAAAGTTAAATGAGTCGTCATCCAAACAGGCCCATATACAATTAGTACAAACTCTATAGTTCCTAATCCATTTGATGACGCTATTTTCTCCCATGGCATAAGCATTGACCATCTGGCAACGCTGCTGGACCACACCAGCCAAACACGTCATGAGCGCTAGCCTCGATACTATAAAATCCATGCCGGCGATGCTGTCAGACGCGTATGAAAGTCGCTGTCCCGACAGATCGCGTGTTATAGGGCAAATGTACTGAAACATGTTTAGTGTGTTAAATTTGTAGTGATACTGGGGCTGGAGGCGTATACATATTCTGTCGCCAACAACATGAAACATACATTCCCCCTACAAACCCACGATTTTCAACCCTTACAATTTTTTTTTTCGGAAAATGATTAGGGGCCTCTGAAACGCTAAAAAACGTAATTTGGGCGGTTTTTATTTTCTCCGTGTTTTTGACATAGCTCCGCCGCCACTGGACCGATTTTCAAAACTACAAAGCTTTTTCGTCCTTGACATGGTAGTAATCTTGTGTGAAAATTTCATCCAAATCCGTGCAGTACTTTCCAACTTATAGGCGGTCCAAAGATTAGCGAGCACAACAACAAAGAGATCGATAGAAACGAGTGAGATGGTTTTCGTGATGTCATCTAAAAAACATAATATCAGTAGGCGTGGCTAAATATACGACGCGAATTAGGCAAAACTGAAATCGCGTGTCTCAACACGTTGTACAAAATAAGATCAATAGAATCCATGACAGCGCGCATCTATACAAAACTTCTCATCTGATGCTTCATTTTCGATAATGTATTCTTCCTAACATTTGTAGTATTTTCCCTAAGACACCTTCTATTTTTCTATAACTGTTGCATGTCCTAACCTTCTTGATAATACCGCTATTTTTTTTTAGAAAATTATGACTAAAGTTCATTGGGCTTCCAACAAAATCGGCTGCGAAACAGCTACAAGGCAGCTACAAAACAAAGCTGGAGGAGTGTGAGTGGTGGTTCTCCGCAATGGCTTTCCACTAAAAGGAAGCAGATATTGAACAAACTTCTTCAGGACAAGCATTAATGGACGTAGTCCGATGGTATACAAAAGACAACTTACCGCTGTAGGTTAAAATCCCATTAGAAAGCGGACGAGTAGTACCCAACCCAAAACAACTAAACGTAAGGTACAAAATAAAACGGTACTACTCCATAAACTGGTGTTTGGGGCGTTAATATCCCAAAATCTGGAAGTTAACGAAACGACACCCACACCACAATCTCCGCAGGAAAGTAAAAGCTAAAATGGCGCTGGACGCGTCTGTACACCAAGTTTTTAAAACAAGGTATCTTGATCGGAAATCAAATATTAAAAGAAGGTTAAATGAGTGGCCCTGAAGAAGGCACGTTCGACAGAAAATCAAAAGGAACGGAGAAAAACCGGTAAATTTTATGAGGAAATTTCGAAGATAGTCGTTAATAATTCTATAACATCCTAAAGATTTCAACACAATACTGAATCGATGAGAAAGAAAGATAGATATAATACCTGTGAAATTATACAATCAACAAACTATGAAATTTGACAAAAGAAAATCATTAGAAAGGGTTTAGCCTAGGAATCGGCACTCTATAATCAATGAAGCGAAATTCAAATTACTGATAAGTGATCAAAATAGTAAAAAAAAAGGTTACGTGATTTTGGCACGCGACAACATATCCTGCAGTTTTCATGCTGAGAGAATTCTAGAATTGCTAAACGAAGAAAAGAAAACAAATGATCTGTCACCTGAAAGACAGATAACACAATACCTATATTGCCATAGTTAGTTGAAAGTTAAAAGAGTCCAACGAGGTGGCCAAAACATTAGTCAGAAAGTAATTCAAACATATGGGGTTTAGCGAACAGACAGTAGGGCAGGATATTGTGGTTGATCTATTGTCTATCTCTAGCTGAAGTTGCCAGTCTGATTATAACATGTTGAGATCCAATTGCATGCAATGGCTTTTGTATCACTAGAGGGCTCTGCGACATTACAGGCAGATCACACTGATGTATAACAATTTGATTCCTGGAGATGAGAAGAGTGGCCATACTTTACCGGGTCCCAGAACACCGCCAAGCTCATTCATAGCAACGATAATTTTATCATAGCCTTCAGGTTGTTTTAATTAATATCCATAGCAGAAAATTATAGAAAATTATCTTGTCTACCAGCAGCTTTCATTCGCAGTCTTCTCCAAGAGATATTAATACGTCTGAAAGCTTTTCGAAAGGCCCATCAGTGTGTCACATTTCACCTTGACAACTGCAGTAATGGCCGAAACTATAATTTTGAGATTACAATTTCATAGCCGTCCAACGGAAAATCTGTACCACATGTCGAGTGCACGATAATTTAACGAGACACGCAACAAGGTTATTAAAAAGCGTAACACCTAAATGCAATCAAGTAGAGAAACAGTAAAAGAAACAGACAGACGTACAGAATGTACACGTCGGTTTGAGGATAAATGTGTTTTCGTTTGTTACGCAGATGGATCTCACAGCTTCAGGAGTCAGGACAGCAGTACTGAATTGGAGTTACTGAAGATGTTTCACAGTAACACTCAGTTAAGCCACTAACCCTGATGGATTTGGAACTTGATCGTTCGCATGACAATATATGGTCACATCCATACTAGCAAAGTAGTGGTATAAGCTTTTAATAAAAGAACCATTCAGCCGTAAAAGCTGCCTATTGTTGTTGCCTGAACACCAAAATGCTGGCTTAATGTTGTGTGGAATGCAAATTTGCTTTCTGCAGCATGTTTGCTCTAAAATGAGGTGTTTAAAATATTCTTATAGCATAGTTATACAACACCTTATAGGGCAAATTTTGAACGGTTGCATAAACGTTTATACAACTATTTTATACGGCATATTTGTTCGGTAGTCAAAATAGTTGTGTTGTGGCATCCATGGTAACCTTCAAACAACAAACCCGAGCCTTCTTGTTTTGGTGTGCACATTTACTAATTTAGGCAACAAATTTCTCCCAGCGGAAGCGCTTATACAACTGTCGTTTAGTAACTGTTAAAGGCTGTACATCTGCAACAATATTACAACTTTTATAGTACAAAATTGCTGTGTTCGGCATACATTTGTTGCGAAATATGTTGATATACAACTTCACCATAACCTAACTTTCTGCTGTCATCTTTTTATTTAAAATGCCATAACCAATATTTTAAGACATGCATATTGGTTTAAAAGGTTTTATCAACTGTTCAAACAGGAGATATAGATCTGTTACAAATTCTGGGTAAATAATTCGACTCTGTCCGTATTTCATTTCAGAGATTTGTCAAATTGTTGTATAACACTTGCAGATAACACCAAAATGTTCTAATAAACCAAAGGCAACATGGATGATGCCATGATTATACATAACCACCCGCCATACTGGGCAAAAATATATTCTTCTATTGAAAATTGATTAACTATGTTTCATTTCGGCATTACAGATATAAAGTGATAAACATTAGTGTAATTGTGTCTAAATATAGGATTTATGGAAGATTTAACGCAGATAAGTTCAGTTTTTCATCTTAAAAATCTAAACATACTTTTGATCATTATTAAAATATGAATCAAATACGAAGCCCGTACAAATTGCGTAACTACTTTGCACGATAATCACAATAAAATTTGCTGCGCAAGTAATTCAATAGCCCTATATCACAGTGTAGAAGTTTATCATATACATGCGTATGAAATTCACAATGGCCGATATGTAAGTATCAAGATGAATGTCATGTGTTAGTTATATATGCTTCACTTCGCTTATACAATAAATAAGAAATAATTTGGTTGCAATAAAGTAGAATCATGTAACAGAATAGTTGTATAGTTGACAAAAACTGAATCTTGCACTAACGCAAATGTTCTGTAGCTTCTGCAAGAGGTTTACACTTTTGT